TTTTTTTTTTTTTTTTTTTTTTTGTTTTGTGGTTGAGTGTTTGTTTGTCATTTTGCTTGGATTGCTCTTCCCAACACATTTCATCATTGTTAAGCGAAAGGTTTTTTTTTTTGCCAATTTTGTCTTTTGAAGACCGTGTTCAAGAAAGACAAGCGATAGAAGAAAAAAGAAATGGTTGTTCCATTTGTTTGTCTTTGAAGGAACAGAACTAAGAAAAAAAAAAAACCGAAAAGAATGTTAAAAAGGGAGGAAATAGTACAGAGGTAAGAAAATCAACATGATTAACAGAAGATAATATTCATCATTTTTACAAGGTGTTTTTGAGATGTTTCGTCTTAATCTCCCTCTCTCTCTCTCTGTATTATGTAGATTGAAAATCCTGCATTCATATCCATTCCGCCTCTATACATGGCGTACAAAGCAAATAAATAAATAAATAATATATATATATGTATATACATATATGATTGAGCGTATATATATATATTTATATTTATATGCTGTATTGTTTATTTATTATTATTATTATTATTAATTACCTTTTTTTTTATCTGTTTTATATCCTTTTTTCTNATATATATATATATATATATATCTTTGATTCTGTGTTTGGAGGGAGTGTTTTTATTGCTTTCCTGTTTTATATATGTATGCGTATATATATTTCTCTGTGATTATGTGCAGAGTGAAGAAAGGGAAAAGTGGTTGGTATAAAATATTTGGTTTTATTTATTATAACAGTTCTTCTTTGTTGTTTTACACTATGGTTGCTATCAATGAAAACTGAAAGAAAAGAAAAAAAATATCTCTGATTGCGTTTTTTTTTTTTTTTTTTTGTTATAATAATTATTAACACACCCTTACTTGGAAATTGCATCATATATTGTGAAAGTGCAATGCGCGCGTGTGGGTAGACTTTTTTTTTTTCTTTGTGTGATTGTCTCTGTTGTTTCTTTTTGTCTTGATGTTATGATTGAGATGGAAAGGAGAAATGAATGTGCGCTCGTCATACGTCTTTTTTCTGTCTTGACATGCGTCATAGTTGTTGCTGACCCCATGTGTTTGCTACTCAGAAACGGAATTCGGTATATTTCTTCGATACTCCGTCTTTGCTTATCCCTAACGGAGGGTCTTTGTTTATTATGCCCTACACGCGCAGGAACTAAGAAAGAAAATTTTTTTTTTTGTTTTTGACCGATATATATATATATATATATATNTTTTTTTTTTTTTTATTATTTTGAGTGTTATGCGTGAACCTCCGAGACTCGCAGTTGGGCAGTCCCTTTTGCAGAAACAATATGCAGTGAGGGTATTTTGGGTAGAAATGATAGGGAAGAAAGAGAAACAACAGAATGAATCCCAACTCGATTTTAATAATAGTATACAGAGGTGTTTTTCTACTTTTTACAATTTCAAATATTTGTTATAGAAAATAAAAATATACAACGGAAAAGTTTTTCGACTCTGCAAGACTGTACGCATCTTCAAGTAGTCATTTCGTTTCCCACCTGTGTTTTTAAACGTTTGCCCCAACACGCTCAATATGAGATATGTTGTAGAGGTACATATATGGGGAAGAAACATCTTACAAGTATTTTGTTTTTCTCTCCTTTGAATACAGAGCCATTTTTTCTATTTTTGGGTTTTCTATATGTCTTTATATTTGCCCTTATATTTATTTTTATGTAGGTATGTATGTATGTATGTTTTTTATATGTTTCATTCTGTCGATTCTTCTTGCTAGTTTTTTTTTCTTTTACCCCTGGGTGCGGTACGGCAAAACCCTGTTTACATTGCTTTTGCTTCGTTTTTTTTTTTTTTTTTTTTTTT